GGCGGCCCTGCGGAGCGGCACGTACCGGGAGCGTGAACCTCGGCTCGGGTTTTACCGCTATGAGTGGTGGTAACAGCGGGAGCTTGTTTAAATACACTTAGGTGAGCGGTATGGTGTCGGGAGAAGGAGTACAAGCCGTAGGCAGAGAGGAACATAAATCCCCACCTCCCCGGAGCGCCCGTCTGGGAGCGCGGCTGCCGGTCCCAGCACGGCTCGGGGTGAGCGCTGCCCGCCCTCTGGTGTGTCCCGGGCACGGTCTCTTGTGGCACGGGCAGCACTCGTGGTAATAAAATAAAACGTGAGCAAGGAGTTGCAGTCTACGCTTCTTACTTTCTTTGATAAAAGAGCGCAGGTTCAGATTTGGAAAGTTATTGCTGCCTTCTAGGAGTTTTTACCCCTGTGCTGCTACTTTAAGCTATAAATCAATGTCCCTGTCAGACTAGGTTGCACTCTGAAGTGGTCCAGAGCAAACAATGTGTTTTCTGTGCAGTGTTTGAACACAGCCACTCCTACCAGAAGACACAGGGACGGATGGAAAGAGCAGTTAAATCAGCAAGGCTGGTGTGAGCTCAAGGATCTCTTTGTAACTTGTCGCTGTTGGAGCTACTGGGACAGCTACGAGTTGTAGGCCTAAAAAGCTATGAAAACCAGGTTTTGTGCAGGGTTAAGACATCTTAGCAACACCTTTAGCTCAGAAGTTTTTGTTTTGGTTTGCTTACTGTTCTCTTTTTTAGCATTATCGAAATTATATTTCTCTGTGTGTGTTTATTGACTCTCCATTAGTAGAAATCATAGTACTAACTTCCATGTTGTACAAGTCCACTTGGTTTGGAAAGAGGTATACCGGTGGGCTCAATAACAGATAATCAAATGATGCTATTGGCATGCAAAATGTAATTACAGGATCCGTCTTTCAGCACTAAGGAGTATTTTAAACTACTTGAACTGTGCACTGTAACAGTAGCTTATGTTGTTTGCTGTATAGCAGGTACCATTTTTAGCATATACGTACCTAGCAGTGCCTCTTTCACATACTGTGGATCAGTAATAATGAGAATAGATAAGAATCCTTCTCGACAGCAGTGTGCAGGATCTGGAAATTGCAAAAAGCAATTAGTCCATGTCTAATAATCTGCTAAATTCTGTTTTATGGAAGTACACAAACTTAATAAACCTCACTTACTTAGTAATTTATGGGACTTGCACATTAGCAAACCTCTTTGATTAAAAATAATTGCTTTAGATTTAGGATTGTGTGTACTGACTTATGGCTGAAATATGCATGTTTATGCATATGACTTTCAGGAAGAAGTGTTATCTGATCATTATAAAAGGCTGATCTAGTAGCTCAAATAGGTACCCTTACTACAGGCAAATTAAAATACAGAACAGATGGAAATTTTTGGTGGCCTCCTGGAACTTTCCTGCCTACAGAACCAAAACCTATACTTGTATTTGGGATGTATTGGTATTAAGAGTTTGTTTCACTATTTCACCTATATTGGTGTAATTTTTGCCCATACAAAATTGAAATTTTATTCTTTGCATTATGTGACTGTACTGCATGTCCATCACTGAAATTTCCTCCACGCTGTTGGTGTGGCTGCCTAATTTTTGAAGCCACATCCAAAAAAATTCCGTGCAATTAACAGCAATATATGTAACACTGCTTTTCTGGTTGTTGAGGTTATTTTTCTTTTGAAGTATGAAATTTACAAAGTTTTCTCTTTCCTTTGCAGTATTCATAGCTGTCATGTTGATGTCATATGAGTAACAGCTTTGAGGCAGGTACTTTTTTCAAAAGTTTCGGTTTCTTACTGTGATGTTGTTTCCCCAGGTTCTACATTAATTATTAATTCATTGGGTCCTAGCAGGTTGTTAGAAAGTAATGATAGATTTGATATTTTCTGCTTATAAAATCCAGGATGGAAAGATGGGATGTCTTTTGTCCTCTTCCAACATGGTATTGCATATCAAACAAAACAAACAAAGGGATGCAAAATCTTCTTTTCTTTCTACACACTCAAATTGTTAGTGTTATTAAGAAGTAGTGTCTGTTATTAGTATGACAATGGTGACCAGTATCTCGAATAAGTTAATGTGCTTACAATGAAAGGATTAGCTTCTAAGGCGTTCTTTCTGTGGAGGGATAGAACATAAGAACATAAAGATAGTGCAGAAGGCAATCTCCCCCCTGAGGAGTTGCAGCTGTACCAATCACCAAAGATTAGGAACAGGCCTCCCTTAATAGGCCACAGCTGTGTCCAATAAGAAGGTGAGTGCTACAAAAGAGTGGGTGAACTGGGTGAGGAGAGGGCTGGGGTTTGTTGGGTGTGCTGTGAGGAGAGATGGAGTTTGTGTCTGTACTGTGAAGGTGTCAGTGCTGTGAGGAGCTGTCCATGAGAAATCACTGATAAGGTATGGAAGGTTTGAAATAAGATGATACCATCTTTCCATGTCTTTTATTGTTTCATACAAACTCAGGTGAGTCCAGTTAAACCCAGTTCTGCAGAAAACCTGATGTCAGTGGACTCTTCTGCTTACAGAAATCTCCATTGTCATTTGGGATATACTATTGCTATGACTCAAATGAGCAAATAAATTCTCCTTTTTCCACAAGTCTTTTAACAAAGCAAAGAAATTCTCTCTTTGCTTCCACTGAGGTGAGATGCATGAATACAGAAGCAATAGGTAGAGAAAGGGAGGACACTGTGTGCTTACAAAATGTGTAGCTGCAATGCAGCCTCTGCCACAGTGTCTTTTGGAGAGTTCTGTATCCCATTCTCAGGGTATGTGGCACTGCAGCTGCAGGTGGTGGGAGCACTGGAACTGAGCTATTTGCAAAGAGGTTCATGAACCTGCAGTTGTCTGCAGTTATAAGGTATTGTGCTAGTATTAATACTTAATGGAAGTGAATATGTCTGATTAGCTCAAAGCACTAGCCTCCATTTTACTGTAGTTATTTTCAGTATTAGGTACCACAGCAGAGAACAATTATGCTTTCTAGGTAAATACACTTGTCTGTGATTAATCACTTTTCCCTGGAATCATCTGCTCTTGTTCTTTTACTGCACCAGCTTCTAAGTTTTCAGAGTAAAAACTAATTAGCTACCTGAGGAAATTTACAGAAATGTTATTTTCATAAATTGCATAAACTGGATTGTATAAATGTCTTGATCCTATGAAGATTTAAGCACATGTTGAAATTTGAAGTTTAGAGTCCATATTATCAGCTTCTGGAGAACTGGAGGCTACTGTCAATCAGTGGACCTTCTGCATTTCCCTCTTATCAAGCATTAACTGGGTTATCTAAGGAGTAAGCAATGGATGATTGAATTTTAAGTAAAAAGGTGTTGGTTTTTTTTTTTCTTTCTGCTGTAATGTTCACCTTAAACATAAATTTAAAATTTGTCATGAGTTTGTTGTAGAATGGTATTACTATACTGACAGCTCTAGTGTGTAGGTGACTGGCACAGGAGGAATAAATTTCATGCCTAATAAATGACAACCTTGGAGAAAAAAGAGCAGATTACGAAGGTGTTTGAGTGTGTAACTTCACCACAATGGCCTATCAATGTGCTTTGCCATTATTTAGATGACTTTTGCCATGAAACCAGGTTGGGTTCTGTTTAGTTCTGCATCTTGGCTGGCTGTGTTCTGGGAACTGCAATGACACCAACACTTCAGAATTTTTATGCACTGAGCTAGATGGGAGCAGCCTATTACAACTGGAAAGTTTACATCACAGTTGTCATCCAGCTCCATAATACAAACTTTGTTTCATCCTACAACACCACTTGGTTCCCAGCTGCCCTTCTATAGCTGTGTTCTGTTCCTGTGCAGACTCAGTGGGGCTTAGGTCAGCAGAGAAGGCTGTTACCAATTCCCTGTCCCCTGCAAAGGGTTTCTTGCTAGAAGTTCTGCTGGGAAACCAAGAGTAAATGTAGTTAATTTTTTTCATCTTCTCAGTTACTGTGTCAATTGCACTGAACCCAAAACTTTTTTTTTTTACTGTACTACATTCTGAAGTGGTTTATTGTGGAGTAAGTATTACAACAATTGTAACAACAAAATTCAGGGAATGCTTCTAAGAACATGAAATATGTAGAAAAGAAAGGTAAGCATAATAAGTACATATTTTTGTGTATTTATTCTAGAAATTGCTAACTAGGGATGAGGTTCAAAAAACCATTTTTCAACTTTTTGTCTAAAAAATTGCAGGTGAAAATATTATGTAGATGCAAAGCACACATGATAGGGTATGTGCAGTTAAAATTATACAGTCTCTTCACAGTAAATGCAAACAAAAAATCTTTCTACTCTTGTGCTAAGGTTGCTATTAACCTACAGCAGACTTTGGTGTTTCGTAGAGCAGCAGGTGGTTTTCAGGAGCTTGACTCCTACACTGGCTCAGAGCTCAATGTAATTGACTACCTGGTAAACAATCCAAGTGCTTTATTTACAGTGGGTGACCATTTTAACAGTCTAAACATTCATTTTGCAAATAGGGATTCTGGCTAATATTTATGGTCATTTCTACACATGGGCACAAGGAAAATGAGGCAAATATGAAGCATTGCTGCTCCATGACTCCTTTCTAAGAACTTGCTTTGTGAGAGCAGTAAAGCTCTTGTCAGGCAGTTAACACAGCTGCTGCATCTACCAGCTGAGATGTGGCAACCAACTTCTTGTATGACCTTGGTGTACTTCCTTAAAAAGAGAAGGCTGTTTTAAATTACTCCCGTTGATCAGTTTCAGCTTCCTCTGTTTTGCTTTGCTCTGAAAAGAACAGATATATCAGGTGAGATGCCTACAGTTAAGGTCTCACATTTTTTATCTGCCTTGCAAGTGCATATCTTGATACTCAGTCCTTGATTGAGTATTTTTGTGTGCAGATATGTTCGATTTCATTTCAAAGACCTCTGTATCCAAATCAGCCTCCAAGATGAACTAAGCAATACTTTTTTGGGAGTAGGGGTACATGTTCATCACTGTCTCTGCAGGATTTTTTCTGATCTCTAATGTTATATGTTTGTATGTATCAACTTCTTTCCTAGTGGCTCCTTGTGTTGGATTTGACTTAGTCAACTATTAAAGCATGTGTGTGTTGGGAAGTGTAAGTTTGGTCTGAAATTTTAAATGTTCTGCTGGTTTGGAGTCACATAAGTTATTTATTTCCCTACTACAGGATTAGTAGTAGGTTGAACCTCTCAACAGGCTTGAGAGGTTCTGCAATTCTGTGTATGTTCAAATTCACCATGAGGTCAAAGCCCTTAGACTGGGCAATGCTTCTTGAAAAGCCACTGGCTGAAATTAAGAACTACTACATGGAGTAATAATGAACTCTTTCTATATATGCCTGCATGCCATTGGTTTTTAACTGCATAGTTGTAGAGATATTTAACATTTTTGTAGATTCTTTATGGCTTTTATAATAACCTGGTTTAGTGTGCAAGCTAAAGATTTGTAGCCATATATTAGTAGATATAAGAGTTTATTGATATCAACCAATACTAAATGGCCCAATTGGGCTTCAAAGAGAAAATGCTAAATAGCACTTAATTTCTGTATCAATTTGTAGACTCCCTCCATATACAGTGGAGATAGGAATCCACAGAATAAATATACTTTTTCGATGTACTTTTGAGTTTCTTATCTGTGTTGCATTCAGTAATACATCTTAACTAAAACTCTTCCAAGTGTTTCAGAAGAGCTTCAAGTAATTACAATAGAGAAAGACAACCTAATGCAAAAATACTTCCTTCTTCCTGCCCCCAGGTCCTGAACTTGCGGTTATTTTCATATAATTGGACCTTGTACTTGGGGAAAATTCAGTAGGACTCACTGTAAGATTGCTTTGTGAACATTTTTGTTCTGTGTTCCACATTCAAATGCAATGGCATTACAGAGAGACAGTGTGGATTCAACACTGGCACTCATGATTTTAAAGATTATTAGGATTGTAGTGAGAGTTCTATCCCACTGCAAAGGGAAGAATCCCAAATAACATAGATTCATGCTGGGCCTGAAAAATCTGTTGTCATGGTGTGTGATTTGTTTTAGAATCCCTTCAGTCCACCAAAAACATTATCATATTTCTTTTAGTCTCCTCGATAGTTGGATTCCTAGCTATTAAATATCAAACTGTGACCCTTTTATCCATAGGGAAAAATCCTTGTGCTGTGCCTTGCTTTCCTGTAGGTGTCAGGTGTTAGTGGCATTGTGCCCCAAACCACAGGTGACATTGCCATCTCAGTATTCGGAGTTAGGAGTGAGAGGTTCATAAATCCTGTCCTAAAGGAGCTTGTCTGTACGCTATTAGTTCTTTTAAAATATTTCAAAATAATTCCTATATAAGGCATTATATGCAATACTATATCATGTATATATGCTGGAGTATGAGAAGCAAAAAATATAGGCTATTAAATTTGCTAATAATGCCCTAAAATGCCAGAGGTGAAATAAATTCCTGTGTTGGTTTTGGGCTTTGTGTATAGAAAAATGTCCCTGATGCCAGGCAATAATACTTTCCATGTGAGTTCTCCCCTGTTGCATACTGTGTCAGCACTGCCAACTCAGTGGTAAAGTTTGTGCAAGCTGATGCTGAAAGAGGGGCCACAGCCTCAGCAATGTCCCACTGTGCAAAGCTTGCTGTGCTTGTGAAATGTTGCGTCCTGGGACAAACTTTCTGCCTTCCTCACTGTTCTCCTTGCAAAGCAGTTAGCCAAGCCTAGACTCGCATTTTTCACTCGTACTGTATTTGATTTACATCAGCTGAAGGAAATGGTAATGTGCACCAGTGACTCTGGAATTTAAACAGAAACCCACAAGGGATCTCCATGCTGAAGGCCAACTTCCAAATATGGGAGAAGAGAAGCAGCAGTAGTAGCCTGGGAAGACATCCTCAGCATAGCAAGGGACAAAATAGTTGGAAGTATGTGAGCTTTTTGGAATTTGTTCAGAAAGGTAACTGCTGTCATGTTTTAGTCAGAGTGATGGAATGAAATACAAATACTGTGATTGCAGAAAGAAGGGTGGTTTATGTTAGCTGTCTAGGGCCTGAACAACAGAAGTGCAGCTATTTTTTTTCAATTCTATTTTTAAGTATGTAATAGTGCACTTGCTCCATATCCAAATGTGTATCTAAGCTCTGCCAATATCAATCTGTTAGGATCACAGTTTAATCAGGAAAACCCATAAGAAAAACATTTGTGAGGAAATTAGTGGGGCTCAGTGCCAGGTCTGGTTGAAATTCTGCCAGATCATTTTCTCTCAATACAAATAAATTCACCAATATTTATTCCCCACATTCTGCAAATTCTGATTCAAAGGCTTGAGAAGAGCTTTTAATATACATGTAGCCCCAAAAATGTAAAGGCTCAACAGGTTCTATTTGCTGGTAGAGTCACTTGTATTTA